GGCTAAGGGGGTTCGCTGGCAAAAGGGGGGTTCGCTGAAAAAGGGGGGTTCGCCCGAACCCCTAAAAACCCCCCTGGCTACGGGCCTGCATTGTCGGTCGTTTTCAACCTTTTCTTGAATACATGAAATAGATTCTTACCAGAGATTTATTAGGGCTGATATTTTTGTAATACTTTGCTGTGATCCTCATCGGCAAGAATGATCAGAACGTTTATCAACAAACGTCAATGAAGTATGTAGGACTGTAATGCTTAATTCAGAGTTTGCAAATTCGTGGAGTTCTCTCTTGTTAAATACTGGCAGTGTTCCCCCAGCGATCGCATAAACATCTCTCTCAGAAATCAAGATTACCGCACGCAAAAAAAAAAAAAAAATATTCGGGACAAAGTTTGTGCATATTTAACAAATTTTACTGTACTAGTAACACCCATTTTTACCGATTATACATTATTATACTCAGGGCTGATTATACTTCGTTATAAAGTAGCCAACTATACTGCTGACGAAACCTTCTGAAATAAACATACGATATATTCAAAAATAAACTACAATAGTGACTTGTCAGGCGTTTTACTAAAGTTTTAAACAAATTTATAATTAATTGATTGGATATTTGTCCTAATCCATTCCAATAACACAAAAATCAAAATTAGGAATTTGTAATGACTGGTGTAACAAGACAAACTATTCCGGCTGTGCTGACCTGGATAAACCATGAAGCGACTTGTTTCAATTCCAAAACTGAGAATACATCGAAGGTAATGGAAGCTTGAGATTATGGCTCCTCCCTTACGTACTCATGGTGCCAACACCACTTTTGGTTTGCCTGGATATCATTTGATTGTCATAAACAATATGATTAATATGTGTGGTTTCTCATTTATTGAAATTAATAATTAGGCTATAATGTTTGCCTACAGTTGTATGAAATTGTATAAACAATATAATGAGAAATTTGTCAAACATATACAGCAATTTGCACAAATTTCTCGTTGAAGTGTTGGTACAAAGTACTCCAATATTAGTCCGAGATATAACCATATAACCGAGATATGATATTATACTCCGAACTAACAGATACCCACAACAAGTAATCACAAATGGTAAATACCGTAAAACCTCGATCAGAAGTCCCATGGGCTTAATCTCGAGAGGAAGCGCCCACCTCATCGACCCCTACCCCAACTTCACCTTCGCAGCCCCCCCCCCAACTTCAAGACTTCTAGATACGCCACTTCTAAAAAAAGAAGTTTGTCCAAGGGTCCTGAAAAAAGAAGCCCAGCTTCTATTCGAGTTTTACGGTACTGTACCGTACAAAAAAACAGCAACGTAAGTTTCATACATTCACATAGTTGATAAGATTGATATTTAAAGGCCTATCAAGTCAGCCGTGCAATAATTACCCGAAATAATAAAACATTATACACAATTGTCAAATCTCGATTCAGAACACATAGTGTTGTCAAACGCAATACTTAGCCTAAATTATAAAAGTGCATCTGAATTAATTATACATTTTTCACATGCAAGTATAAAGTTCATAACGAAATTTTTTATAATGTGAAAATACCTATAACATATTTAAAATAAAATTTCTGTAAAAACAATATGAGTTTACGAAATAATCTACAAGTAAAGTTTTCTTTACATTGCTAAGTAAATAGTAAATAGTATTTAATTATTTAATTATATTTATTCGAAAAGACGGCATACTATAATAGTGTTAATAAAAAGTCTAAGTACTATATAGCGGTGCCTTAAATAAAGCGCTTGAGGCGATATTACCACGGGCCGTTGGATTCATAAATTAACAAACACAAATACTATATTAAGGAAAAATTATGACTTAAATGATTCTACAGTAAACTATTAATTAGGTGCTGGCAGCACCAGCTAATAATTGAATGATTTGTATGTATTGTTCCCAGAATTTGCCACAGTGACTTGTCGAATGCGGTTTGGGATGAGCGACAGACCCATTGGATAGTTCAATCCATCCTCTCGCTTGTCGATCCTCTTCACAAACTTACCATGACTATCAAAAAGCTGCAGCTTGTGAGTACTAGCCACAATGATGTTGCCATCGCGATCGACGACAACACCCTCTGGGCCCCAGACGCGACCATCTCCCTGGCCACCCTCCACAAGAACTTTCAAGACGTTCCCCTCACTGTCGAATAATTGGACTCTATGGTTACCCCAGTCAGAGATTATCACGTGACTTTCTCTTGTCAATGCGCAGTATCTTGGATACTTAAGATGACCGACGGCACTTCCTTCAGATCCAAACCTTCCAAGAAGTCTGCCATCTAGGCTGAACTTCACGAAGCAATGAGCATCTCTGTCGACAACGAACACGCATCCACTAGCTTCATCAGCAACTGTACCAAGAGGCCAGACAAGGTCATCCTTACCGAACCATCGCTTTGGGGTTCCGTCTGGGCTGCATATTATAACTTCCTTGTTACTTAAGTCGGCTACTGCGAGGAGACCGTGGCTACTTAGTGGGCTAATATTTGAAACGCGTATTCCTTGTGTAAGACTAATCTTGTTTCGGAATCCACCGGCTTTGTCGTATTCTAGTATCTGGTTGGTGTCATTGCATGCTAAAACATCGCCAAATTTATTGACCATTATACCTCGGACCTTATATGTTGCATTGACCCAATGGGTGGAAAGATTAACAGTGCCGACTATACCTTCTTGCTCTGCTGTAACTAGGACAGGTGATCCTTTGATTGGCCGCCCGTATATGTTAACTTCCAACATCCAGTTCCCTTCATCAGCGCATTCACCACGAATGTCATACTCTCCATCTCTTCTGTCTGTAATTGTCACGGAAATAGTTTTCCCAGATTTGTTCTTCAAAACGGCAGTTACTCTCGCACCACCCTCCGTGACCTTTTTTGCACCTGATAAATCAGTGGTTGTGACTGTGACGGTGAAAGCTTGTCGTCTGGTGACGAAGATTCGATCTCTGATGTCTTTGATTTGCAGCTGCATTGACTCTTCTCTAAACGCAGCGATAACCCCAAGACTTTTCTTGTTCAATAGAGTCAATGGTTCCTCGTCTGGAACGAAATCTAGAAAACCATTTTCGTATGGTTCAAGGGGAGGAAGATTTTTCGTCTTGTGTTCCAGTCGTTTAGACGCTTCTTCGCTCGACACCAAAGCAGCTGCCTTGTCTGGACATGTTGACAGTGTATCAGTGAACTCCATGATGTTTGTAAGCCTGACCAAAGCAAGTTCTAACTCTTCCACCTGTGCATCAATTGCTCGATCTTTCGTGGTGTAGGTAGATTCCAAATTCTGCTTAAGAATTTGACCACATTGCTTAGCTAAGTGGTGCATATGATTTTCATGTTCTTGAATCTTTTTCAAGCAAAGGCCGCGGTCGTTTTTCAACTTTAACTTCATTGCTGCTAGTCGGTCAATAGCGTCCTCAAGGTTCGTCCTAGCATCCTTAGATCTTGACCTCAAACCAACTACTTTCGAACTGAACTCAGTAAACGCGTCATCTATGTTACGCAATCTGTGGGTTTCACCCTTGTGTGTAACAACAGTGCACTCAGTACAAACAGGAACGCGACAGTAGTCGCAAAAGAATTTCAGTGGCAGCGTCTTATGTGTTGGACACGGTGAAGGTTTGACGAGCAGACGCTCTCTGGAAGGCTGTTGTTTGTATTCTTCTAATGGCAAGAGTATATGATCTCTGGTGACTGGTAACCGACGATGCATCTGCATGCAACCTGTGCAAAGGAACTCCTTACAATCTTTGCAGTTGTATTCGGCGTCTCTTTCGCACACGACACACTTGGCTTCTTCTTCCTTCTCAAGACCAGCCACCATGCTTAGAAGACTCACGATGCAGCTGTTTTCTTCTATTTCCTCAAGGCCTGCGTCTGGGATTGGATAGTGCTCCCTACAGACAGGGCATGAGGAGTTCCCCGTCTTGCTCACCCACTGCTCGAGACATTCAAGACAGTAAGAATGAAAACATGGTAAACTTTTTGGTTGTCTGAATCGTTCTTGGCACAAGACACATTGAATTGCCCTCTCTTCTATTCCAGCTATCGTTTGAAGCTTAGCTGGAATGGAGTTTATGGTCGCCATCGTCATCTAAAAATAAACATTCTCTCAGTAAGTTTGATTAAAAATAAAAAATACATTTACTGATAATGTTTGTGCTTAGGTAAAATCATGATTGGATCGTAAGAGAACTACCGTTATGTACATATGCCTACTGGCTTTCAATCAACTTTAATTGATTTTATAGAAAAAGTTTTTTAATCAGCAAAATGTTCACTGATTTACTTTTTTAACTTCTAGTGTTAATGGCGCATGTGGAGGAAGAACAGCGATGGATGCATAACAAAATTAGCACTTCAAAGTGTTGATGAATCTTCCGCTAAGCATGCCGCCCGCCCCTTGAATATTGTTGGTAAGTCCCACAAAATGACGGCGTAAACTTTCATGTATGTGGGACATGCGCGTATTACTGGTTATGTTTTGATTGGTCAGTTAGGTTTCATTGACACTCCAGAAGGTTTAATTGAGTTTTGAGGGTTTTCTCAGATTTTTCCATTTTCATACAGATTATTATTAAACAAAATTGTGAACATGTTATAACTTCAGTGTGAAGGTACGATTTACCAACCTTTGACATTTGAATCGTGTGTGTCAGTAAATCTTCTCACATTTAAAACGGCTCCTGAAAACGAAATGGAATATCATATCATATTGATACTTCAAATGCATGTAATGTAACACACTACTTAAAAAGTAGTCATTAAAGCAACTGTTGTTCAACTTCCGTCAAACTTTATAAATAAACCCCCACCTTTATAATCTAATTTGTATCTAGTACAATATATCGACCGATATAGGAATGTGATTCAAAAATAGACGAAGCACTGTGGATCAGGTCGTATCAGACAGTGCTCCCTTTCAACAAACTAAACGATGTGTAGCCAACAAGAACCAGATTTATTGTTGACTTAATACCTGTAAAGACTCTTGAACTTGTTCTTTAAAAGAGCGCTTCAAAAGAAACGGATCATAATCGTAAAAATTGTTGTTTAGTTATATCAATGCACTAAAACTATAGCCAATGGTCGAATGAAATTTTACAAAAGTAGACAACAGTTTACTTCAAAAGTTGAAAACTCAATTGAAATCTGAGAGAAATTTTGACGCGTTATGTAGACACCTATTTTGAACGACAAATCGGTCTGCGAAGTGTTAAACATGACTATAATACTACAGGTCATAAGGATTATGAGGTGACACTATTAATAGAAAACAGATAGATATTAGGCATAACCGTATCTGTTTTCTAGAAATAAACTATAAATATTAAATTACAATGGTCTAAATTATTGTAAATGAATGTAAGCAAAGTAAAAGAATAGGCTAGGCCTAATTGTTGGATGGTGAAATTACGTCTTAACATTGCACACTTAAAAGGTAGGACTGGTTGTACTACATCGTAACCTTCCCGCACACCCCAGGCGTGCGTCGACATGATTTCACATAAAAAACACATGACATTAACAATTAAACGAGTATTCGCGTTTTTTTTTTTTTCAATTATTAGGCCTAGGCCTATCACAATTTTTCATGCCACACCTCGATAATCGTAAGTAGTGGCGGTAACGTTTATCATTAAGTGGAGTAAAGATTTTAAAAATTAATGATTACCTAAATATATATTACTGATTTAGTTATTTTTTCACTTACCTTCGTTATATTATGGTGCTAATAATGAGCAAGTTTACAATTTGCCAGGACCAAAAGTCTGCTACTAACTCAGAAAGACTTACTCCGGCACTAACTTTGAATAAGGACGCGTTCGAGGTTCAGCTATCAAAAGAAAGATAATCTACTCAATCTTAGTTCCGCCAAGTTTTCGAATCAACATAAGAAAAGGATTTGTGCAAAAGTATTGAAATTGGTCTTTATTACAGAAACACGCGATGAATAATTATGCTACAATACAATGGTTAGTCGAAAGTTGACCCGAAAAAATAACGATTCACTCATCCTTCCTGCAAAAATAGGCAAGGCCTATATGAATGATATAATATACTGCTGCTGAGGATGAAGATGACGGTGTTTAAAACAATTAAAATAACAGTATCACTTCATATAATAGTGAGCTCTCCGCCCCGTGCCAACGCAGGCCGTGAACGATTCCCTTATTTTTTGTTGTGCTCAGAGGGTAAGTTCAAGCATAGAGACTATTTTCTCTATGGTTCAAGGGAAAAACAATTGAATTTCCTTGTGACCTTTTCTTCCCAAAAGTTAATCATTTCTTTCTTAGATTATTATGCACTACCGTATTCCATTTAATTTTATGATGATCCCGTCCTTATTTACGTAATCTTGATAAGAGACAGGGATTATTTGCTGAGGTAATTGAACTTAGACACACACTTCGCAACGGACATTTTTACTATCAACTGGGGTGGGGGCAGTTTTACGGGGTGTGGCCACTGGTTTATTTATTTGTAAATTGGAATTCGGATTTTTACTGGGGATAATTTTAGGCAACTGGTTTAAAAACCTTTTTTTCAATCGGGGCATTTTTAGCGGGGTCATGGATACCTGGGTCATCATTTTTTGCCGCATGGTAGGCCTAAATAGCATGCGAGTATTGGCGAAAGAAAAATGCTTTTAGTCCTTGTTAGTAATCCTGTAGCCTTTTCTTGAATATTCATTTTTTTTCATGGGGAAAACCCACTCACAACAATAGGCCTAAGGCCTACATTATAGCGCATAAATGGATAAAAAAAAAACAACTTAATTTTCCATTAAACAATGCAACACATAAAATTTAGATTTTACTGATTTCCGGAATCTTTATTAAAAAAAAAATATTTTGGAAATATTATTACGTAATTATGTCGTCATGAGTCAGGTGTGTGTAGTATAGAGTGAATGTTCTGCGCAACCTCAGTGCATCACACTCCGGTAGTACTCTGTACTGTCAACATACATTGTTCACCTAAGCTGGTGTTATCAAAGCCGAGAAAACAACTTGAAATGGAATCGCCTTTTATGGTAGTCGCTGACGTGTTTCCCCATGTTTTTCTTTTGTGTGTGTGCGCAACGACAACAAGAGAAACACGATGGCTGATCAGGAGCTGAGCAAACTGCCACACCAAGAAATCAAACAAGAAATGGAAAATGGTAGTGTGAACGGGGCTCAGCAAGAGGAACGGGGAACTGTTATTTGGAACTATGTTCTTACCAACAGACTCATTGAGTTATGGCAAGAAAAGCCATACTTATATGATGTAAACTCGCTTTATTATAAAGACAAACATATGAAGGCAAAAGCTTTAGAAGAAATAGCAAACAAGATGGGAGTTACAGGTAAGCTAAAGCTTGTCCAGGTTCCATCACATTGACTGTCGTGGCGTGTGATAAAGATGCCGGGCTTAGGGCCGATAGGCCTATCTCTAGGCATAGGCTGGTAGTGCGTGTGGTGCATACAGTACAATGTGCGCTTTCCTCTTTCCTAGGCCTCGTCTAATAAAACCTAGCCTAGCCTTGGCCCAGGTATTTTTTAGGCTTGACCTTCAGCCTAGCTAGGGATAGGCCTACATACAGGTCAAACAGGCCAGTACTAGCTAGGCCTAGGCCTAGACTACCTTATCACACCAATTGACTGTACTTTGAGTGTCCTATTTGACTTATTGTTTAACTTCTTGACTTACTATTTAATTTCTATTGGACATTTTGTTGGAATACCTAGGCTATAGAAAGTCACATAGTATTATTCGCTAGGCCTAGGCCTTACAACAAGTCTAGGCCTAGACCTATATCCATTATACGATTTTACCACCATTACCATTGTAAGGCCTATCTAGGCCTTGTCCTTAGGACCGATTTTATAATTTAAAAAAAATTAACTTTCTTAGGCCTAGCTATGGGCTGAGCCTACCCTAGGCTAGACCTTTGTTTTTTCTCCTGAAAAACCTAAAAAAAAAAAACAAAAACAAAAACTGTCATTGTATTTGCAGTGGAAGATGTCAAAGCAAAGATCAAAGGAGTAAGGAGCCAGTTTGTACGAGAAAAGAAACGTCTTCGGGACTGTGCGGATGAAGATCCACGACCAAGATGGCCACACTATTCAAAATTGTTGTTTCTGGAGAACTTTATTGTTGCCAAGCCACCGACCTCAACCTCAAAGGTCATAATTTTTTCCAACCATTCCATTCTTACATTAGGGAGCTTTCGATTTGTGCAACAACGCGACGCTAGAACGGAATCACTCATGCATGACTGTCCTAACCGGCATCCTACGTTCTCTGCATACGTAGATTTAGCCGAATTGCATTCCAGAATCTGCTCGACGGGGTGACCTTAACGTTCTCGCATGCTCAGATGACTTTTAGTGACGTAATTACGTTCTACGTCCTACCGTCGTCGTCCAATTGAAAGCTCCTCATTAATATTCACACTATTTATAGATTCAAGACTTCTATATTTTGTCATATTTTTGTGTTGTTTTCCTAGAATTGTGCAATAACCACACCCACAATAAATATATTCCATTCATCAATATGTAACACTAAACATTTCCAAAATAATAACAACGAAAAAAACCATTTGGGGACCTGGTGGCTAGAGTGTGGCATCTGCATTGGTCTGTACACCTTTGAGCTTTTTGGATATTTACTGAGTTCTTTCTTCGTTCGTACATGCTATTATGTACAAGTGGCCAGCAGCTGTTTCACGTTCAGTAATTACCTGTATGAGAAAATTGTTATGCAAGTATGAGATGTTATTAACTATGTGGGGGTGATTTAACCTACCTTTTCTTTGTACTGGGAGTGAATAAATTTAAATAAAAAATTGATCATGTGTTTTAGAGATCTACACGAATATTAAAATCATCAAAATAAATCAGTTGTACTGTATTGTACAGTCATTTGTATCTTATTGTTTTTGCCTGTGATAACCTCTTCACAATAACATTTTAGTAATGTGATCAATTCTAAAATGTTTTGTCTTACACTACAGAGAGACCACAGTGAAGAAGATAAAGACTGGATGGATTATGAGGATCTACCGCATGATTACTTTGGCAATAAGGAATATCAAACACAACCAGAACCAGTAGTACATGCAGACGAATTTCCCGAGCCGCCTGTACACCAGCCTGCCCCGCCCGCCCCGCCGGTATCGCCATATTCCATCTCCCCACGCCTTGCAAAACGTTTCAAGAAGAAAACAGACGAGGATGCAATTGTTCGTCGGTATCTTTCCTTAATTGACAAAGTAGACAAAGTAAATGGGAACAAGCAGGAAGTACAGACTAAAACGGATGACGATGATGAAATATTTGGAAAGTATATTGCAACAGAATTACGAACCATTCCAGATCCTCACGTGAAACGCTCAGTTAAACTCCAGATCCATCAGGCAATCTTCAAGGCACATTCCTCGCTACAATTACCAAACATACCTCACGTCGTCATGCATTCATCGCTACCGACCCAACGGAAACGACGCAAGAATTACTCGGCAGTGAATCATGATGACGGCCGGCATGAGCCGATTTATTTTCCAATGAACGATGATGATCCAGCATCAACGTCCACTTCAGTTCCATCCTTGTCAGCTGATAGAGGGAGTCCGTCTGTACTTGCATCCGTAAGGAACGGAGAAGTTGAATGATTTAGAATCGGAACCTAAAGCTGTACTCACACTATAAAGTTTTCTGTCATAAGTATGTATTTATTCAAATAAACGCCCAGGAGATTTATTGTTGAGACAGGTGTTCGAGGAAGCGTTTATTCGTAGCAGGCATTTATTTGAGGGATGCCTTTTTTGTGTATAAAATGGATACAATTTACTTAAATAAATGCCCTTCAGTTTGACTCAAAAAGTGGAACTAGAGCACATAATGACCGTTAAAATGTATTATTGCTTAATCGTAGACTTATTGATCCCAACCAGGTTGGGAAAAAATGTAATTCTACTGAACATCATTACAGTAGAATGTGTTAACGAATGATGTTGCTTCCATTAGATTTATAGTCATTTAGGGGCGTTCGATTGAGGAAAAAAATAAACGCCACAGGGTTATCCAAATGAAGCGCTAGAAGGGATGTTTTTTTCGAATGGTGGGGGGGGGCGTTCAAAGCGGGGTGTTTATTTGAATAAATACAGTATGTGTGATTTGCATATCTTGATGTCATAACACACCCATTGTAAATCACAAAAAGTGTATAGTGTAAACAGAGCTTAACTCTCTATACCATAAAATTGCATTGTAAATAAGATGCATCACAATAATTTTTTTTAATGGGAACGATGTTTAATTGGTAATTAAAATATTAATCATGAATTATGTAATGCAAATACACGCAATGCCTTTTCCAGGTTGTTTACTTCTTTGCACTTAAGTGATCTATTTAATATTGTTTTATTTTCAAACTTGCAGCATTGGTGATACCAACTGTTCTACAAAGGTGTAATATAAATTTAGGAAACAATTAATTGGAATGCTGACATACACTGTATTGGCCAAGCATCAACAAAGAATCCATCTCGCTTTATGTAAGAATTTTACATAAAATCGTTGAAAGACCGTCTAAATATCGTCTTTGAAAACGATATAGCGTTATCGTGCACATCACAGTTTTAATGAAATCGTGTTGGCCAACACAGTGCGAGTCCATCTTGACAGTTTGTACTATAGTCTGCTGAAATAGATGTTATATTTTTAAATTGTATTTATACACAAAATAATTAATACTAAGTTGATCAGTACCTATTTTACACAATGTTATTAGTGTAGGTAGTGCGAAAGAGTGTAATTGCGTATTTATGTTTATAATTTATTATGTATAGAAAGGAAATAATTTATTGATCTTAAATTTTGTGAAAATTAAAAGTTATATCTGGTAACAGATCATTAAAATGAATCATTTTAATTAATTTTAATTTAAAGTACAGTAAATTTTAGTGGTGTGTATTCATTTAAATTAGCAAAAGTAATTTGATGCTTACTGCTGTACCAATCAATGTGTTTGATAAAGCTGAACAAATTTTTATGAAATTGAGTACTTTAGGTGTACTACTGTCACTTAAATTTAGCGCTGCTCTTTAGAGCTTGCTTAGTGCTGTAATCTATTTGCTAATAATAATCAGGGACAAACTTTCAACACTAATTAAACCTTAGTTGATCTGCAAATTGGAGAATAAATAGAAAACAAGTTTTAATACAACTCATTCACCTCTGTTTACTTATTATCCAATTAAGATTTAAATTTTAATATTTGTATTAAACATTAAATAACATCAGTTTATGGGCAAATAAAAAAAAATTAAAAACAAAGCATCTGAGGCGTGTTGTGGCAAAAATTGAAATTCAAGTTATTGGTATTTTCAGAATCTGAGTATGTGATCTTTAAAATTTGACATTATCTCTTAAGAGTCAAGATAAACATGATTTTGAGTAATTGCCTTTTCAAAGTTATTTGTGCATACATTGTTTAATATAATTAACTATCAAAATAACTTTAAATAAAAGATTTGTTGACCATTTCCGGAACTAATACTTTGATCTATTGTGAAAAACAAATTCGGATTTTTAGGCAATATTTTGAGCTCCCACCATGTTTTATAGCTCATTTACTGAATACTGGCCTGTGCGACGACTTAACCATTTCGCTACAACGTGCCTCATCTATTCTTACGATGTTTTATTAGGTTGGATTTAGTCCATCGTCACCTTGCGAATGTAGATCAACTGACCATATTTTACTCAAAATAATTAGTGTTTTTATTTGTTTAGCATCACAATGTGGCCTTCATATACTGTAGAACTAAATTACATTGCACTTACAGCTTGTGTAACTAACACTAACTGTAGCCATGGTAATGAAAAGAAAATAAGGTTTATAATTAGGGGAATGCTGCCCTCTGTAGAATAAAGCAACTCCAAAGATGCACATTTTCTACACATTAATATCTTTGTTCTATGTTCAGTTAGTAAATAAGTTATCCAAAAGGGCACTGTAAACTAGTATTTAATCATATTTTTTAGGAATATTTTTTTTTTATTCAAATAGGAAAAAAAATGTAATTTATTGAGAATAATGACTGAAAAAATTATATTTAGTTGGATATTACAGTATAGATACATTTTGTTGACTGGTCTGACATACAGTATGCATAAATATGTCAATTATTGGATAATGAAACAGTGAATAGGAAAGTGATTTTACTATTACAGCAGGAAGGTATTTCAATTACGTTTAATGTCTGCATATAAATTATGTTTAATTGGCAATGAATATTGCCCTATAATTTAAAAATCTAATCTACTTTTATTTGTCTTTTTAGCTATCACAGACAGCTGGGTTTTAAAAATTCAGCTTATTGCTTGTTTTAATGTTAACATCCTCAGTCGGCTAAGCTGGAGGTAGCGCTGTGTGTGCGCTGAACCGTGGAGATCTCTAGGTCCCCGGTTCAATACCGATCGCTGCTGTTCTTGTGTTTCAGCTGGAGGGCTGAAATACAAGTTACAATAGCGCACCGTCTTTCGGATGAGACGTTTAAGCCGTTGGTCCCGTGTGCATTATGGCCCATGTGCACGTTAAAGAACGCAGTACACTCTTCGGAAAAAGAGTAGGGGATTGTCACCTGGTGTACTGTCCAATCACCCCCAGAAGGACCCCACTGGAAAGAAGTCTTTTTCTAGACTTACGTAGGTTATCCTTGGTGTTTCCACCGAATAAATCCATCCATAATAAAACTAAATCTTTGTACAAAATACAATATACAGAATGATCTCCCCAGTTACAAAAAAAGTACAACAGTTTTTTAAAAATAAAAGAATATTTTTTAGTGGTACTTTTACAATATGATACTTTTGGTGTTGATTTTACAGAAAAAATTGTCTTTCTTACTATGTACATTACTGACTCCTGTGAAATTCCATAACTAGTGTCTATATATATGTTATTTATTTAAAAAAATTTTGAATAAAAATATACGAGAACACTATGTCGTTTTGTTGAGCTCAAAAATTATTTTTGTGGCTTAGTTTAGATGGCCTTTTTTAGGTAGATTTTGGTTTATAATATACCACATTCAAACACCCCAGGGCATTTATTGTTGAGAAGAGTTTTAAAGGAGGAGGGGGCATGGGGTGTTTATTTGAATAAATATGGTATGTGTGCTTTATTTTTATTTAATTATTACTAGTTGGAAACCTGGCTGTGGTATTTTGGCTTGTGCTCTCAACGTACTCTCCACCCAGAAACATAAATGCGTACCGGCTTAAGCTGGGAAGATAAACAGAGACTATGGAACCTCCGACTTCTCCGTAACTATTAGAAAAAACAGTAGTGTTGTTTAATGTGGGTGGGATGTGTTGATGGTGAAATGAGACGGGGAGCCAAACGCTTACCCAGTAAGCTCTTTTCTACATTCTGGTGCGAGATATAAGGGATGAAGTGTCCATTTCATGTCTATTATTGCCGCGAGACCTCACATATTTCCTAAAGACCTGCCCAGACTATCAAACTGTATTTGACAAACACATGTGACAGGCCTAAATATGGTCATGATGACATCACATCACGACCTCATGATATAATATGGGCACATCATAACTACATGGGCATACAACAGTTTTTTGTTGAAGAAAATTTGATATAGCCTTGACAGAATTCAAGAACATTAGCTTGGTTTTAAATGGGAAGTCTTATGACTAAATAATGCTATGCTATGTCACATACACGTTTGACGCGAGACTCACGCATTCTATGTCTGTCTCACGCTCTTGCGCTTAAGGACCAAAATCTCGCGCATAAATGTAATAATGCCTATAACAAAAAAATATATGTATAATTTCTAGTTCTCTTGCTAAATATTCATCATCTAATGTAGTTAGAGTAGGATTGGTTTTGTTGCTATACATTCGAACACAAATAAATGGTGCACCTACACAAGGGTTAAGTTAGTTTGGCTTTCTCTTTTCAATCTGGACAGCAGAAATGAGCATTCTGCAGAAAAAATGTGTGATTCCTTACAGATTTTCAGTTGTAAATACAATCATAAAGTAGCAAAGTATGCATTTCTGGGTTTCTAGGGAAAAACGTGGAAGGGGGAGGGCCATGCCCCAGACTCCCCCCTTGGGGAGAGGTTTTAGAACAAAAGTCTCATGCCTGCAATTTAGTCCAAATTGACATGTATTATGTCATAATGTACTTTAAGTTTAATAAAAATAAAATAAGTCTATGAATTCAGCATTAAAATAAAAATCTTTATTTTCAACAATTTTGTTTTTAAACAACGTGGCTTTAAGATACAGTAGACTTCTTTGATGACCTTGCATCATTCTTTGAAGAATAGCTTAAGAATAATAACTTAAGAAGTCCATACAATCGATTCTAAAGCCAGACACTCACTGCATCGTAGGACCGTTGGCCAACAAATCCAACTCTGGTCCTTGTGAGCATTAGATGGTGGTTGTCGGTGGCAGTCTGATCTGATCATCATTAAAAACGATCCATTGCGCGCGCGTTGTTGCTTTTCCATAGAATCGCAGTGAGTGCCCGCCTTAATAAAAACACTGGCAACATTTATGAATACAGCTCTCTTGTAGTTTCAACTAGTCATAACAATGTCAAAGGTCATGTCTAATAAGCAAACAGGCTTATTATAGAGCATGTATGGAATAAAAAAGGCAAAATATTTATGGACCTTTCTGCTAATCTCCCCCCCCCCCACCTTAAAAAAATGGTTTGAAAATCCCACAAAACGATGGTGTAAAAACATACGCAAACATACATTTGTGGGGCAACTTGTGTTTTGTGACACACAAGCCTTTTTCTTGGACCTGTTCTGATTGGTCAGTTGTTCTGATTGGTCAGTTGTTCAGGTCTATCCTGTTTGCAAACATACATGATGTGTATGACAAATTGTTCTGCAAATGAGTTACAGTTACTAAGAAATATCACATTTTGTATAGGTTAGAGAATAAACCCTGGTTTAACTTCATGTCATTGACACAAGTCAAATTTAAAATTCAATGATTAGGCCTACCTCAGAGCCTATTTTCAGCAGTACAGTACATGCTAAATAGTAATATAATACTTGGAATTTCCATACAGCAATTATATCCCTAAGATATTTACCTGAAATACTGGTCTATGGTTTACCGGGATTTGAAAAACGATATATACAGTAGTTAAATTAGGACATTCTTTATATAAAAAGCTGTACATAAAATAATACTTGGGATGTCTACAGAATATCAACTAATTATAATACTGTACCTAGCCTTTGATGACCTGGTCTATAAAAGGGTTTTCAACATTCTCTCTGGATTGTTTCCTCCCTCCACCCCACCCCCACACACTCTTGCTCCCATTTCCCTTTATCTAACACATATCTCTCTCACTTCTTATTCTGCTGAATAACTTATTTACATTATGTTTACATAGAATATCATATTTACAAATCTTGAAGGATAATCAAACAGATAGAACAAAGAATTTATTAAATGAATGACAATATTCCTCAAACAGTTTTTATGCAATTTATATACAATTTATATACATATTGAAAGATTGTCTGTACATCGAAACAACTTAATATAGTGTGTACATAAGTGAGGTATCGCATCCTTACAAAACTGATAACAAATACGTTAACAAAAAAAAAGGGGGGGGGGGCACATGAATCATTTGAGCATGATATTCAGCGATGATAAGGAAAAAACGGTGTGAAGTATTTGTTATTGTTTTTGTATTGTTCTGAAGTCTCTGTAATATATACTGTAAAACCTCGTAATTAAAGCCCTAGGCTTCTTTTTTTTTTTTTTTTTTTTTTGCGAATTATGGATGGGCTTCTTTTCGAGGGGGGGCTTCTTTTCAAAATAAATGTTATAAATTTTCGGAATTTGTACTATAAAAAAAAAATAGATAAGGCCACTGTTTTACGGTATACCAGCACCATCATAACCAAAGCCTATTTTACACACTCTTCCTGAATTTTCTCATTCTTGGCTAACAAGACTTTATCATTCTAGTTGAAAAGGGGGTTAAGATGTCCGGCAAAGGCTCTGAAAATTTCCGGCACAGGTCAGTGGGGTTTAGAAGCAAAGCCCTGCCTCTGACGAAACTCTGTCAATTCAGCCATTCTAACATGTTCTAAAAAGTATAACAGCCAACCTTTTTTATCAAATGAATCATGGCTAACTGGGGGCTAGAAAACTCCCTTTCTAACTGGTGCTGTTACTGATCATTACAGCATACAAGCAACAATAACCAGGCCTGACATCCAATGTATCAATATCTGTCATGTATGAGCTAATAATAATCTCAAAATTGCGAACATAATATTCTTTTTAAAATTTTTTGCTCAGAAAATGGGAGATATTCAGGAGACGGAGCCACTGAAATGATCCGTAGTTCCCCGACCTTTGATTTTTAGCAAACAGAAACGTATAATCTCCCGCATGTAACATGTTACAACAATGTTTGCTTGCACAATTCAATGCTTCTAGTATCCGATGACCACAGACATTATGGTGATAAATCTCTCCTTTTTTAACATAGATTTAATTACTAAATCTTTTTCATGAATGGGATATTGCTTGTCAAATGTTTTTGCTTCCTTGATCTGCATCACGATTGCGAAACAAAGCTTTGCATTTACTTACTGCTTACCGCATAAATGCTATGATAAAGCTTCTTTGCCTGCCTGTTTTCTTCACTACATAGCTAAAGCTTAGCTTAGCTAAGCTTTCGTCATATCTGTCATAAAGGTGGAGCCTTTACCACAGGCTAACAGTATCCATGAATTGCTTCTGAGCATAGAGGAAAATATCAGACTGCCCACTCATGAGTAGCTCACACATCTGACCTGCATCATGGTTTACCTAGTTTAGCAGAAAGCTAGATAACCTCTATTACCAGATTACTTTAATCAGTCAACCTATATTAGCAGCATGCTAGAATCAGGTGACCTGCTGTTAGCAGTATGCCAAGTGACCTCTCTTTGGAGTATGCTAAAATCAGGTGACATGTGACTTTCTAGCATCTCTACAAGAGGTGACCTCTTTTTATATATGCTAGAATTAGGTAACTTTTGTTGTGTACCACCATGTTTCTATCACTATGATAGGTGACCTCTGTTAGCAGTATGCTAAAATCAGGTGGGAACGCACCTTTCTAGCATCTTTTTAAGATGCCCCAACAACTTTGAATTCAAATATCAGTCTAAATCTGTCCATGAATTCATGTTTCATTTAGTTCCCTGAGATGCCATGAATATAAAGTTCGCTTGTCCGTTTGCGTAAGACTCCATCGCGTGGGAGCCGACACTTGGGATCTTCACCTTGACACCTGTAATTCCTGGCATACTTTTTGTATTTGTCACTGAAACCAAAAATAGTAACACAAATAATTACTGTACTTTAAGTAGTAGTACTTGGATGAATATTGTATTGGCAGTAAAGACTATTAAATATTAATAGCATCCTAAAATGTCAAAAATTTGTCAATACCTGCCAAGTGCCTTTTCAAGACTGCTATTGCAACTAATACCAGTACCAATAGCTAGGCCAAATAGTAGTAAATTAACTCATTCCAGTAGGCCTAGTTGTAAGCCTAAACAAAGATTGACTCACATAGAAGTAATCCTAATCTTATATAGATATTAATGGTCTGAGAATGTGCATGGTTTTTTTTTTTGTTTATAAAGAAACGGTACTTGTCTGCAGTGAATGGCATATGAGAAGGGCAGAAAAGCCAGAAGAAAGAAAGAACACAGGAAGGAAAAAAGGAAGAATGAGAAGGAAATGTGACAACAATTTATCGGTTGAAATATCTTCGGAAAGCAGAATTGTTGCAACTTTCTTTTTTTATCCAAGTGTTAAATGGGTATTAGTTTTCTGCTTATTTCCATGCATACAAAAAGTACACTGACATGGAAAAAAAATAATCAGATATGAGAAAAAAAAAAATATATATATGAGACATATATTTTAAGTTGTATATTTAAGATGGTAAAGTGTATCAATAGGTCTTACCTGACTGTACTGGTGGAATTTGTTTGAATAAACTTAAGCCATTTGGTGTGGATAACCGCCTCATTACTCCAACAGGTGTGTCAGTCTGGAAAAAAATAAGGAAAATCTAATCCTATTATATGTCTTTGCTTCTTTGTGTATAATAGACAATTCTGTTGTTTTTTTTTTTCTCTTTTTTATGTGTAAAAATTTCTGATCGTTGTAACACTTTTGGTCCCCAACTACAATATACTTGTAAATTGCATGCATCCCTGTGCATGCCACTTTTTTGCGCTTAAAAAGAAGTTATATGTCGATGTATTTTCGTTTATTCTGATTTAAATACTTTTATTTATATACAATTTTAAAAATGCATTCATGTTTTAATAATTAAAAAGATTGTTCATAATGATTTCATCACTCAAAATAGCGTTAATAAAACAGTGTTCACGTTTGAGAGATGCTACTGAATATGTTTGTTCTTCCTAACATTCCTTAATTAGTAAAGTGTACAAAAATGAGGTATAAATTGATTTGTATCTGTCATGAATTATATTACTGGATTGCACCATTATTTTTGAGTGGCAGCTAATAGTTGTTCTGTTACAGATACACCCTGCTAAAAAATTATGAAAGTAAATTAAGACCTATACATAGTAACATTCTTTACCCTAAAAGTATGTGGGGTGTTTGGTCTACTGGACTTCTCCTTGGCCCGTCGATTCTGCTCCTCTTGCATGTTGTGCACTGCACTGGATATCCTGCTACCTCGAGACCTTTGTGGCTGCAAAGGCAGAAGAAAAAGTTAAATAATATACCTTGAGACCTTTGTGGCTGTAAAGGCAGAAGAAAAAGTTAAATAATATACTGTATACTTCAATTATAGATATACATTATATATCACGGTTTATTTAGTATGTTAGAATGCTTTCGTGACATGATGTACAAGTCGATTCTTTGGTAACACAATGGACATGGATTAATCAACATTCTTAACAATTTTAATTGTATTTTGCTGTGTGTAATGATAAGTAGATGGTCACTTGACTCCATGAAGACAAATACTACAATAGTAAAAACATGCAAACACCATGAATTTGTGGGAAATGGGTTAGTTTCCAAGCGTGTCCTGCTTACTCGCAGGAGTACAGGAGACAGTGTCGAGTTTAGGATGTCTACTGTGACCCACAAGAGACTTGGGTGAGCGTATGAGTGTGAAATAAGTAAAAGAACACTTACAAACCCTCCTTGCCTGATGTTGTCCTTCTGTGGTTGAACTTCATTCTGTATTGGTGGCAGCATTGCATTCTTGCTCCACGGCACAGACGGTGACGGTATGCGTTGAGGTGGTGACCCTAGACGCTCTGCTGTGTTAGGATTATTACTGTGGGGAAGAGAATTAAAATATTGGTTATGCCTATGGTGTAAATTTAACTTCCCAATTACTAACTCTAGATTTTACGAACATGATTTACGGCGACGACATCATTACGAATAATCTTTTTTAACTACAAAAACATTCAAAATTGTATTTAAAAGTCTCCAAAAATAATATAAAATGTTTACATAAGCTAAGAATGAAAATGTGTAAACCAATAAATTGATATAAACTTCCTTTAAAGCAAGAAAATATCAATCGTTTTCAGTCGAGATATATTCAATTTTGAGCTGTGCATGCTTGTTCAGGAAGCTACTGTACAGATGTGTACAGTAGGAAGAGAGAATCTCACTTTTTGTTCATTGGGGGCGCTATTCCAACTAATTCGTGATCGTTTTCAAGAAAATAAAACACTCGTTTTTGCAATTAATTGTCATTTTTTCATTCAGATATCACTTCAAATGAATACTTCATAGTGAGTACAGATAATTTTGGCTTTTGTACAATATTATTTTGTTAAAGAAAACAGTAAAATCCAAGTCGCTCCCATGAAAAGGCTTAGGCCTACCTAGTCCTGTATACTATTTACATAGGATAGGCTTAGGAGATGCTATGAAAATTGAGCTCTCTGAATTTTCTTTATTAAGAACTCTGTTTGGACAGAGGGGTAAGTAATTGAGATGATACTGTATAAAAATAATAATTATTCCCTTGGATACCGAATTGACTTACAGTTTTTTACCCTGGACGTAGTCTTCCATATGTAGCTGGGATGATGGTATCTTCGGAGAATCAATCGGTTTTAACCTGTATCTTATCCTTGCGGATGGCGATCTTAGATGACTACTACCCACTCGACGGTGAATTTCAGATAACGGACGGTTATATGTCACATCATCGCTATATAAAGACAAGATAATAAGGATTCAGTGGTAACCCGTGAATTGGAATGTGTAACACCCATAGCAAACATTACAACATTTGTAACATGTACATATCTAAGAAGCTTGTTCAAAGGCACCACAAATTAAGGAACTATAAACTGAAACTAGATTGAAATTTGTCATCGACAAATTTTAGGTGTTACGCATGATCCAATGGTTTTCCTCAGCGAGAAAATTAATAAATTCCCAAAATGGCCTGAAATGTGTTTTAAATTGGTCAAAAAGTGATCTTGAGAATTTAAAAATAAATGCACACATACGCGCATGTCATGACGCGCGCGCAGACGGTAATTGCACATGAAGTTGGCCGTTGATATGAAGTATACTTGTGTCAGTGTTCTAAACCAGTCTGCCGCCCTCTGGGGGGGTCGATTTATGATAAATCATTTCACAAAGATTTAAAGGAAAATATGAGGGGGGAGGGGGGGTGGTGAGAAAAAAACATTCATTTTGACAATAATGACATCATCAAAATAAAAATGGAAGGTACAATTATGAAAGAAAATATGCCTCAAATATAATATACTGAAACTTAGGAGACGATCGATCAAGGATAAGCGACATATGCCCAAATCCGTATAAAAATGTATACTTCATATAGATAAAAATTCAGTTTTTAAAAATTCAGATGGCAATGTGATTTTTTATGATATTTTATGAGACATGTACTACATTCTTAATTTTTCCTCCTCTAAATATTTCATGTTACTAATTTATTTATATTTAAAAAAATGGCCAATAAAACACACTTAGATGATTTGTACATGCACAACTTCAGTATGTCACCAAATATCTGGTAGAATTTTTATAATTTTTTATGAAGACTTACATTAATACTGATTGAGGGCGGTCTCTTCCATCAATAGCACGATTATGAATAACTTTACTTTTGATTGTCATAAGGTCATCAAGTCCTGTTATAAGGCCAAACGCACTAGGTGTGCTAAACGAGGGAGTACCAGCTCTTGTCTAGAAAAAAGACACATAAAATTGATATTATGAAATAATATTTCTGTTTATTAGTTAGCATAATATCATCTTTATACCATCACCACTGTGAGATTAAAAGTACTATTGAATAAAGCAAAGGTTTAAGCGAAAAATATTTCTGGTTTTCACACTTACTGATGATGAGCCAAATTTGATATTTGCATGATCGACCAATCGCGAGACAGGAGCCATAGGGTATGGACTTATCATTTTGTCAAAGGTTGGCACTACAGTGTTCAAAGTTGAACCTCGTGACTCTAAATCGTGTGACAGTCCATTTAAAATTTTATCTGAAATATCAAATTTAAAACAGATGTTGATGTTAATGCATTATATCATATTAATATTGTATTTATGTAATCATCTAGTATCTAGTTATATTTATCTATCTAAATACATTATCCATTTATGTATAAATGTATAAACACTGGCATAACATTATGGAAAGACAATAGGTACATGGTAGTTGAGTGGATTCAGGGGCGGATCCAGAGATGTCCAAAAGGGGGGGCCGAAATGAGGCCGAAATTTGGGCCGATCGAGACAACAATGTCCTACAGGGTCCGGGGGCATTTCCCCGCAAAATTTTGTGTTCTAGACACCCGAAAATAACATTTGTGGCAAAGAAAAGCCAAACCAGTCACTCGTCGCAAATCGTGTTTCAGAGAAAATGGCCAAAACATGCTGGGACGTCAAATTTTTAAAAATCTATTTTATTGCACTAAATTAACCTTTATATATCTACACATCATTCTATGCTGTTATTTTCGACATTTTCAATTTTAAAACAATATTTTTTAAGGATTTAAAGATAGTTTCTGCATGAGAAATGCCTGAAATCATAAACTTTGATGGTTAATTTCTCATATATTGTTCTTTAAACAGCTGTGTGGTTAAACGCTTGTAACTTCATAAAGAAATGTCCGATTTGAATGATATTTTTACCATTTTATAGCTATTATTTTACTCTTTAACACTGTATTAATAACTCAAAATCGATTTTTGCGACGAGTGACTGGTTTGGCTTGTCCTTGCCACATTTGAGGCATTCTAGGCTATCATTTTTTTCTTTTTCTTTCTTTTTTTCTTCTTTTTTTAACTCCCAAAAAGGGGGGGGGGCCAGGGGCCCCCTAAATCCGCCCCTGGTCAAGTACCACCCCTGGGATTACCCAAATAAGAGCAAAGTGACATAGTTGTCCTAAGCCCATACATCAAGTAAAATGTTTTTCTGACCATTTTTTTAGAGAGGTAATTTATCCAACATTTATTATTATTTGTACCATATTATGAAAAACAAAATATTTCAAACTATCTGTTTCATGTAATTACTTAAAAGAAATTTGTAACATGTTTTATTACCATTTCCTAATTCTACATTCTTCTTCACCAGTTTCCTTAGCCAGACTACAACATTACACCATAGATTGTCGAATACTTGTAACGTTATAGCATTCTGAACTGAGCTGTTTGGCGTTATCGGAGGATAGCCCTCACGCCGTTTCCTTACTAAATGCTGACTGTACACATTATCTTCATCTCTGTGGAAAATATGTAAAAGAAAAAAAACAATAACCATAAAC